GGGGAGGAAGTTCCTGACCATGTCCCTCCCTGCTTTTTGCTCTCTCTTTCAGTATTGAAACCAATGACACACTTGGCATGTCATAGGTGGAAGGCAGTCTGTAAATGCCACAGAGGACAGAGAGAGAGAGACGGAAGGCAGCCCTCCTTGGAGATAGCTAGCAGGCTTATGATCGCTAGACTGGAGCACAAAACAACACTCCATGGGAGAAATTAGAGAAGGTTCTTTAAGAGGGATTGACATCCCTAGAAGTTTTTAAGCTGAGTAACGAAGAAAATGCACACAAATGTCTGTGGTGCAGAAGCTATCCCTTCTTCCCACTTTTCTTCTTCCCACTCTAGTTTTCCAGGATGGAGTCATCGGAGAGCTCACTAGAAATGCAGATGGCTTTTAAATGAGTGCCAAAGATGACCTATTTATTTTTTAAAAGCTCTTATGCAATGCGTTTTAGTTTTGAATGTGGCAAGAGACCAGGGTGTGAGAACTGCCTCAGGCCCCGCATTCCTGGGGCTGCAGTTGGAGTTGTGGCTGGGGGTGCCCTTCCTCGTGACCCCGTGGCCACACGTGGCTCTGGCAGTTATTGCCCTGGCATCTGAGCTGGGAGACAATTGTTCCCTCCAAAGAATTATTGACGGGCTTTGTTGGCCAGGTTCCCTGAGCGACCAGGAGCAGCCGGAAGCTCTACAAATGAAGAGGGAAGTCATTGGACGCAAAGTTCATAACCGGGGCTTGTCTGCAAGATCTTCCTGTTTCAAAAGGGATCTTTTTGTGTGTACGTTTCTGATTTTGTGTGTCAGTTCTTTATTCTTCTTCTAAGGAATGGTCTTTGTCATCTGGTTGCCATTATCATCCGATTATTATCAGTGAGCATCTCCCGACTGTACTCTCTTACCTGCTGGGGCTGGTCCCCTGGGTACCCTCTTTCCCCTGGCTTTCCTCCTCACCTGTGTGCGCTCACTGAAGCTCCGTCCAACCTCGGGTACCATCCCTTCAAGAAAACTTATTTCCTGCTCTTTTCCTTCCCTGAATACTATCCGTATCTGCGATCCTACTCTACAGGTCCGTAAGTAGTCGTTCTTCAATTGAGCTTTGTTGCCCAGTGCAGAACACAAGTTCCCTGACAACAGGGGCCATGGGATAGAGGTGGTAAGGAGACTAACTTTGCCCTTTTGTATTATTTGAGGTTTCTTTACATTGTGCATGGATAGCCTATTAAAATAATTGTTAAAATTTCATTTCTTCCTTGTTTTATAAATTATAATACAGGAGCAAAACGAAAACTTTCCTACAGATTCAGTATGGTAACAGATACAAATCCATGTAGGTTTGATAAGTGCCTTTTGCTCTGCAGGGAAGATAAAAATAAATGATGGTGATAATAGCTAATAAAACCAAACCAAACCTGTCTGGCTGAATGCTAATAATAGTGCCTTTACTTCATGTGGGGGGCTTCCAGATCAATATAAAAAGCCCTATTCCGTATTCAAACCACTGCTATTTACTTAGCTGTTCTCAAATGGGAATAAGCAGACATCAGCTATCAAGTTTCTAGCCTGGAAAAATCCATAAAGGCCACTGGACACAGACACCATGGGGACATCATGCAGACAGTTCATAAAAATAACTTGCCCAACATTTTTGGAAACTGATGCAAGCTGGACTTGTGGCTCTGTCTGTTGCCTTGACTTTATGCAGTAACAACAGAAAAGAAGCCAGTTACCAGGGCTATGAGAACTTGGATGCTACAGAAGACAGCCAGTACTCACAACAGGGGGAGTACCAGTCCTGCATCACATGAATACACGGAACAAACAACCATAATTCACTTGAAAAGAATGCATCAATTCACTCAGAAATATTTATTGAGCACTTACTATATGTCAAGCATTGAAGGGAATTCAAACATATATCGGTTATTCCTGGTTTTAAGGAGTTTGAAGTCTAGTAGTGAAATAATGCTTGTTCAGAACTTACGTATTAGTATCCTATGAGATTTACAGTTTAGCCATTTGGAAGATGGAGACATCGCTTTCAGTGGAGTGATCAGAGAAGGCTCTATTAGAAAGGAGGGCACTTGGAACAGATTTATGATTAAAGAGACCTTTTTATTAAACTATAACACACACATAAAAGTGTACGTATAAAGACTATAGGCTAACTGAATTTTCACAAACTGAACACACTGGTTCCATAACCAGCACTCTAGTTACGTAACCAGATGAACTAGTACAGTACTCCAGAAGCCCTCTTCCAATCCTTCCTGAAGGGAGTAGGATTTTGTTAGATGAATGTAGGTAGAAAATTACTGGAGGAGGCCTCATAAAGATGTGGAAATTGAAAGGCATGACCCATGTTTGAGGAATGGCTAGAAGAGTAATTTGTTTGGATTGCCAGCTGGAGAACAGGTTTGCGTCCATGTTGTAGAGCCTTAAATGCTAAGTAAAGGAGTTAGATTTTATTCATTAACTGCTGAAAGTTTTTGAGCAAGGGAGGAATATTTTGTAAGACTTTTGATGATGGCTGGTAATTTACTGGTGATGGGGGTGAGACTGAAGTTTGGGTGACTGGTTGGGTGACTGGTTGGGAAACTTCTATAATATCTATATATGGGATAATTTTGGCTCTGCAGTGGTAGGTTAGGACAGAGACACAACTGTCCACAGACATTATAAGCAGCCACCAAAACCTGAAGGGCTGTGGATCTTGAGGAAGGAGGAGGGGTCAAGAAAATTTCCTTCCATAGAACTAATCAAGACAAAATTTAATAATTTTCTCAGGTAGTTCATTGTTATTTACTTTTTTGTTAAGGGCTAACACAGTCTTTGAATGCTGCCTCTCCAAGAAAGCTCTGGAAAATTTTTTTTTACAGTATTTATTTATCCATTTTAGAGAGAGAGAGAGCTAACACAAGTAGCGGGAGGGGCAGACAGAGAGGGAGAGAAGTAGACTCCCTGCTAAGCAGAGCCCCATACTGGCCTGGATCCCACAACCCCGAGATCACAACCCAAAGGGAAATCGAGAGTCGGTTGGTCATTTAACTGACTGAGCCACCCAGGCGCCCCATTTACAGTATTTAAATAAAACCCTGAGTTACTCTAAGGAAACTCCAAAGAAAGCAACTGACCTTTCAAAGAGAATTCATTGTTAGAAACATGGACTGTTTGTTTGTCTTTTCAAATGGGTGCATGCTAGAATAAATATTTTGCTGTGAAAAACTGACTCCAGCCAAGAGTTTTGAAGACATCATGTTAAAAGCAAATTATTGGGTGTTGCTTACCAGCCTGTTTCTTCATCCTTCCTTTAAATGATTCTCATTAATCCAAATTTCTGGGCAGGATGAATTAACTAATTAGCTTTAATGTATTTCTACAGAAAATGAAAAAAATTCTTGAAGAAAAGGCCATGATATGTTTTCCTTTGACAACTTGTTATATCACTTTGGCTATGTGGGTCATTTAAAAAAAAATAAGTTAAAGTATCAAATTAGGCTTTGCTTCTTCCATCAGGTCGTCTTCGAAACCCTTAGACTGGAGAACTTGGCTATCTATGTTGTCTCCCAGCAACTGAGGTAAACTCTGCATACTTTAGTGGTATTACCTGTTTTATTTGTCTTACACACTAGATTGTAAGCTTCCTGGATGCAAAGGACATATTATGGTTATCATTTTTCCTCTGGTAACTAGCAATGTATAGTACTCCTTAAACATATGTGTAGGTGGAACAAATGAATGAATGGATTGGATTGTCTATTTCGAAGAGTTGTGATGATTAAACAAAATGAGATGATGTCTGTACAGACTGCTGTTAAAGACATCTAATAGATATTAAATATTCTTTTGGGGGGGAGGGCAATTATAGCTAAGAACCAAGAAATGTATTACTATCCGAGTTAATTTATAAACTTTTAGCTAAAATAATATTATTGAAAGCCTAGATTCTCATTGAAAGAGCCACACTATTTTTTTTGAGGCATACAAATTAATTCAGTAGATTAAGTAGGGAATAGTACAGCAGAGAGGGAAGATCAAGTGGGAAAGCAAAAAGTATAGCAGAATATGACCATATGGAAAGCGCTAGACCTTGTTTCCTCTTTTGTCCTTGGCACAGCACAAAGGGCTCCAGGTATACTTATTTCTGTTTTTCACAAATTTTGTCTCTTTTTACCACTGTCTTTACCACTATATTTTACTGATGCTCTCCCTATCCCCCCATACCATCTCTTTCTCTCCAAAGCAGCAGGTTCTTCACTCATCAAATAATTTTTGACCATCTAACATTTACTGTAATGTCTTTCAAAGTATGTTCTTAGTTGTATGTTCGTTCTTCCACAGCGCCAGCACCTTATTCCTTTGAGGTTGTTACTTGTTTCCGGAGTTTTGGTGCGTGTTGTTTCCAGGCCCTAGGATTTGTGTAGTAAAATATCGGCAGATGGAAGGGAAGTTGAAGGCTGTTGTGTGTCCTTCCTGGGACCAGCGGAAAGGAAGGAAACTTAATTTGGGAAAGAGCACGTGGGTGGGAATGGGGTGGGTTCGGCCAAGACGAGAGCGGGCTTTGCTTGGACCCCACGCTCTCTTTAGACCTGAGACTCCATCATTAAGGCAGGCTGGCGCCGGTGGCCGGGAGCCTGGGTCTCGCGTCCGTCCCTGACGCGGCAGCTCACCTCCCGCACTCGCGCAGCTGAAGTTCCAAACTTTTCCTCCGGCGGGGAGAGGAAGGGTGTTATTAAGTTTGAAGGGGAAGTCCCGCCCCCTTCCCGGATTCCGAATGGTCGGTGCCGGCCCCACCCCCTCCAGGGCCGCGGCAGGATTGGCTGCGGGAGGGGAGCCCCGCCGCAGGCCCGGGAGCGGTGGGCAGCCGGGAGCCCCCAGGTGGCAGGTGGGGCCGGGACCGCCGGCGCCGCCTCCTCAGCCTACCCGAGCGCTCGCAGCCCTCACACTTGAAGGTTCGCGCGCGGCAGGGGCGCGCTGCGCCGCCGGGAGCCGGACTGCGAGGACTTGGCCATGAAGAGCCTCAAGTCCCGCTTGAGGAGGCAGGACGCGTCCGGCTCCGCGTCGTCCGGCGCCGCCGCCACCGCCAGCGCGGTGAGTCCCGCGGCCCGTGCGAGTCCCGGGCTGCCGGCGGTGCCCTCCCGAGAGCCGCGGGGTCCTGTGCTCGGAAGCGCGCGCCGCCTTCCTCAGCCTTCCCTCAGCGGTCCCTCCGCTCCGTCTGCCCGACCCCTCCCTGGGGCCGGGACTGGGCGTCGGCGCGGAGACCCTGGGGACCCTCCCCGTCGCCGGCCCGGCGCACCACCCGCCTCTCACCCCCAGGTCTCCGAGCTCCTGGGAGAAACCCCGGCGTTCCGGGGTTCAGTGGGCCTCCCTCCTCCATCCCGGCTTTCTGGGTTCCCCCTTACGCCCGGCGACCCCGGCCCTTTACTTCGCTCGGGGTTGGCCCGGCTCCCCACGCGCGCTCTGTCGGGCGGGGCCCGCGGGGGCCAGACGGGGGACTCGCAGCCCGCAGTCCGGGTGGGCGGGGCAGCTGACTCCGCGCCCGCCCGCCGCTCTCCGCACCCGCCGTGGGTCCGGGACTCCGAGGCTGGCGGGCCGGGGCGGGAGGGGGGCGTCGTGGGCTGGCCGCTGTCGCCGTATCACTGGGGAAGTGGGGAAGTTTGATTTCTGAGGAAGGCAGACGGAATCGGGCGTCGATGAAGACAAAGCCCGGTGGGTGGTGATCCTGGAAGCGGTGGTGGAACTGGGAAGTTGGTTGTCCTGTGGGGCCGAGTTTCACCTGTGGGACAGATCCGTGTGGGGCAGGCATTCCGTGTTCATCTGCCACCCGGCCTCCGTGTGCACGCTAAGAAGCGCTCAGGCCCTCTCTTCAGTTGGCAGGAGATCAGAAATCTTGAGAAACAGCCTGACAGCAGATGCTGGGGATTTAGATAATTTGGCAAGTCAGAAGAATGGCAATATCATCAGCATTCTATATTATTAAACGTTACTTAAAAAGTCGTGAAGAGTCAGAAACGTAAATGAGATGTGATGCTCACACTGCCCAGTTGCCCATTTGGAGTAATTAAAAAGGACCTTTATAGTTTTGCACAAATTTTACCAAATGATCATATATGCTTTTTATGAGAATACTAATTAATCTGCTTTTGGTTATGAGTTAATTCGGAATTGTGGCTTTCTCTCCGCCTATTTCTGGGATGATTCTACTTAGACTTAATGGGAAATTGTGGCAAAACTAGGCTCTTTAATTTCCAATAAAAGAAGGAAAGCTATAGATGGCATGATATTTGATGATTTGATGTTGTTTAATAAAGCGTGAAATTATTTTATAAGCACATAGGAGAGATTACTTTGTTTCACATTGTTTTTTAGATAATAATTGACAAATGTCATTTAGTGATGTTAGAGGTCACTGTAGTTGAGTTAAAGATTCAACTTTTTTGTAGTGCAGGTTGTGTTTCAGCTTTATAAAAGATAGCTTTTTTATATTTATTTGCTGTATTTTCCCATTTTCTTTGGCTTGCACTACAGATTCACATTCCACTTGGTGGTTTTTATACCTTAATTTTATCTTGTTTTCTCTTCTAGAGATGCAGACTATTTAATTGTTATTGCTATTATCAACATGCCAGTTTGCATTTTATACATTTGAAACATAAACATAAACAGCATAAAAATCAAGAGAAATACATAGTATAAAAAGGTAGAAGCTGTCTGCTTAGAAAACGTGAACATCTCTGTTTAAGTTAAATATTAGAATAAATTCTGTAAAATATTTAAATGAAAATAATTGAGGCCATGACTAATAAAACCAAACCAAGGTAGAATAAAATGAATGTATGGAGAAGGAGGTCCCTTTTGCTTTCAACCTATACCATAATCCCTAATGTCAAATTTGGTCACATGTGTATATAGTATTGTTGGAGTTACCAGTTGCTTGCATGTTCCCCCAGAGAGAGTTTAGCATATACAAGCAAATAGGAATATAAACATTCACCCTTTATGAGAATGGTAGCACACTGTACTTGTTGTTCTGTATCTTTTTTTAAACTGTAAATAATTAGGCCCATTCAGAGCATCTCCCTTCAAATCCTTGCTGTAATATGCAATGATGAATCAGCCTGTGTATATTTCAAGTTTGTGTGTGTGTGCGTCTGTGTGTATGTGTGTACACTTGTAGGATCAGTTCCTAAAAGTGGAATTGCTGGGTTAAAGGATATGGTGCATTTGTAATACTGAAGAATGTTGTTAAATTTCCTTCATGTACCCAATGTGTGAGAAATTACTTTTCCATGCTTTTAAGAGCCCACCGCATGTTCTTTTTTTTCATGAAGAGTTTATCCTTTCCATTTTTCTATTGGGTTGTTGATTTTTTAAATTCATTTGTATGTACTCTATATCAAGGAAATTTAGCCATTTTAATATGAATAATATGTTTTCTTAATTGGTTATTTGTCTTAGGATTTTGTTTATGGTGGCTTTTGCTATGCAGAAAGTGGTTATTTTTATGCAATTGAATTGGTCAACCTTTTGTGACTTTTCGGTTTACATTATATCTTGGCCTTTCTCCTCTGCAATATTAAACAAAAAGAAAAAAATTCCATCTTGTTTCTTTTAGTTTTTTAATTTGTTTCATTTTTTAACATTTAAGTTAAATGTTTGATCCATATAAAATCTTATTCTGGCATAAGGTAAGGGGCATATATCTTGTTTTTTTTTTTCTCCGTTATGGTTACCTAATTTGAATCTTAAAGCAGTCATTTTAATTATCATGGAAATAATCACAGTATGCTCTGCACAACTTTGATTTGAGGGAAAAATCTTAAATGTGTATTTCATAAATATTTTTTCTTGTTTAAGCTTATGTATCTGAAAGAGATGCATTAGCAATAGACTGAGGTATATAAGTGTTTTATGGTATGTGAAATATAGAATCTTAACATGCTAAATTATATGTAGAAAAAATCATTTAAAATATTCTAAATAGTACCATGGTTATAAATACGCCAGTGAGTTTAGAGTTCCCTCAACAGGGTTGTGTTTATACACATATACATAAATGTAGTACATAATTATAAACTGTGGGTAAAATACAGTTGAGAGTTTGTCCTGTACTAGCTGAATCTGGAGATAGCTGCCTCTTTTAATCATAAAATAAGACTATTTTTGTTGTTGACATTTATCTTAATCACTAAATTGGAGCTTCAGATTTCTGAAAGGGATAATTAAATGACTGTAAATGCCATTTCAAATCTAGTCAATTATATGTGCAATTATATGTACAATTATATATACAATTAATTATATGTACAGTGAGAATAGGCTATTCCGTTTTCACCTAGTTCAGACTAGGAAAATTGAGTAATTAAAATTAAGGGGCTGTATTTCAAGAACTAGTAGATGTACTGCAAATAAATATTCTAAGCAGACATTTTGGAAGGGGGTTCCACTTAAATTGTACCTACACTTAACATTTGTAGTGGAGTAAATGCTTGATTGTTAAAAGTTATTTCTGATATGGGAGGCTCTGTGGTTATTTTTGCTGCCATTTCTCTAGGCTACTCTGATTTTGGAGCAATGAATTCTATAAATGAGCAACCAAATATGTTCTAAAACATCTTGTTAATGTCTCAGGACCCTGAAAAAATACTGGTATTTCTAAAAACATTTAGAGTTACAAATATAGCAACTGAAAAATATCTTCACAAAAATTCCTTTGATTCCCACTAAGAACAGAAGTTTGAGATGTTTGGGGAGCCTGAATGGCTCAGTTGGTTAAGTGTCCAACTCTTGATTTCAGCTCAGGTCATGATCTCAGGGTTATGATCTCAAGGTCGTGAGATGGACCTCTGCATTGGGCTCCCTGCTAATCGAGATTCTCTCTATTCCCACCCCCAACCCTGCCTTCTTGGGCCCACGCACGTTTTTTGTCTCTCTCAAATAAATCTTTAAAAAAAAAAAGTTTGAGATGTTTAGAAAGCATAAAGGATTACGTTTTGTCTCAGTTGTGATTTTGAAAATGAGGGTTTTGTGTTTTCCTCTTAGGGTTTGGAGTATGTTTGAAAAGATGTTAATATTATTATAACAATGACTTTGGGGTAATGTAAATAAGATCACAGATTGTTACATTTAAACTCATGATACTTAACTGAGCACTGTTTACTCAATTTCATTAAAGATGGCAACCTTTGATTAAAAATGTTTAACTTAAAGTTTTATTCAGGCAGTTGCCTAGGGTTATCCCTGCATTGTATTTCTTCTGGTTCTTGAAGGAAGAAGCCCTGTTTTTATACTTTTGATGTCAACCCCAGGTCATCATGGTGATTTGAATTGCTGAATTTTATTATAATACCAAAGCAGAATGGTTGAGTTGCTTTGGTACATCTTTTGGTACACAGTGGGTCCAAGAACTTAAATGATGAGTAGTTAACAATTTAAATTCTTTTAATAAGAGTGGAGTAGTGACTGTATATCTATATTGTGCATGATACATATTTTCAAATTTAAAATTTTTAGCTCAGGAATTGGACTTGGTAAGCAGTTACCTTATTTAGTTTGGAAAACATTTATGGAACACGTAAGTTAGACTTAAAAATGAATTAATAATTAGGTCTTTTGTGAAGAAATAGATGATTCCAAGTTGGAAGCAGAAAATGTGCAAGTTGAGCCTGGAATCCTTTGTCCCCCTAGAAAGCAAGGAGGCTATCAAAGATTAGGACTCAGGAGCCAACTTGAAGAGGTTCCCACTTGACCTGCAATGGGATGGTTCCATCATCAATAAGGATAATATGACAGTGTACCAAAATCTTTAAATCTGTGAATTCATAATAATGATTACAAAAAAAGGAGAAAGTTGTTACTTTTGGAGGATGCTAGGGAGCCGATACATTCTTTTAAGAACCAGAAAATAAAAACAAAGAAAGAGGTATTAGGCTTTTCCTGAGGCTAACCAAATATTCGATGAGAGAAGTTCCACTTTTATGCAAAGTGTTTTATCCCAGCTAATAGAGGAAGAAGGGAGACAGAATTAGTATATCACAATTTTATACCTCCTAATGAATTGATGGATCTAGGGCAAAGACAGTGATTATCAT